GTTAACTTCCTTCGAGGCATGATGCCAAATGTATAGCCTTAACCGAATCTGAATTATTGAAGGAAATGTAAATGAGGCATGTTGAAGAGTAGGTACGTATGACGGGATAGGCATATTAATTATTTTGTTGCTTCTGGCGTTTCCAAGAAATTAGTGAATGGTGCTTGAAATTTTGGTAGCAAAGAGCGAAACTCGGTTTTCTTTCCAAATTCGAAGGAGGCAATTTTAAATGAGTTTGTTGTGGCAAACACCCAGCAGAGTAGGTCGTTGATGCGGTTGGGCAGCAATGCATACTCATGAGTACTTCAGTAATCTTCTACTCAGGTGGTGAGGGAAAGGCGGAGAAGCAGTGCGCCGGAAAATATCAACTCCTATGTTCCTGAAATCTAGAGACTCATCACAGTGCAGCGGCGCCAGAAGTTGGAAAGAGTGAATTTTCGATTTGCGCCAAAGAAGTTAAAAAATGCCGGCCCAAATACCTTTGAATGTGGAGAACAGACAAGGTGTGTAGGAAGCTGAATGCCGGAGGGAGTTGATGATTAGATAGCGCTAGAAGAAAAGCCAGGCAAGGATAATCCTTTCAAACAAGTTTTGGGAAGGGGGAGGAGGCTAACCTGGTGCTGCATGGAAATTTTAAAAAAATGGGGCAAGGACCACTCATGATTAGCAACTCTCAAAACGGGATGGAGAGAGGGGGGTCATCAACGAATCCAGGAGGGTCGCCAGGAGAAGGGGTGGGGGATTAGTTTCCCTCTCCCTCTCGTCACTACATGGGAAGCCCTACTATCCCCCTCCGGTACCCCGCCATCCGCTCATCCCCTCCTCAGTTGATCGTTCCGTCACCCTCTACACTCGAACGGTATCTTTTCCCACCCTTTTCCCGCCCTTGGTCATCGCTCTCTTTGCCAACGACCGGGGAGAGAGGGATATGACCTGAGCCCCTGGAGGGGCCAAACACCCTTGCCCTTCCTCCTGGATCCACCAAAGGCGGAAGGAGGAGATGGAGAAGGAGAATCCAGCGCTATTAGCGAGAACAGTGAAGAATGACAGAGAAACAGATTAAAAGCTAAACTGACCTGTTAAGCAAATTGATTGGCCTGTTATGCGCATTGGAGTGATATGCATTGCAAGAAATTAAGCACAGTTTTGCATAAATTGAGCATTACGTTCATTGTACGGCAATATTACAAAAGTCGAATTCGATTGCGCTCGGCCTGCTTCACGCAGGATCGAGCGATTTTTTAGATGGTCTTATTTC